GGGTGTGGACGCGCAGGGTGCCGGGAGCAGGGCCTGGCACTAGCAAGAGCTGCGTCGCCATCGGGCGTTATCTGTAGAATGACTTCCCATGCGAGGCAGATGAGGCTCAGAGAGAAGTGACTTGCCCGAGGTCGTCAGCTGGGCAGTGAGCCTGGATCTGACCCAAAGATTTCAAGGCCTGGAAACCAGTGTGAGCCAACCTGAGCCAGATGTGAGCAGTTGTAAATATCTGATGAACGCATGTGTTTCTTTTTTACTTTTTTGTTTTTTTGGGTTGGAGGCTCACTGTCGCCCAGGCTGGAGTGCAGTGGCACACTCATGGCCACCGCAGCCGCCCCCTGCTGGGGTCAGGTGATCCTTCCGCCTCAGCCTTCCAAGGGGCTGGAACTGTAGGCATGTGCCACCATGCCCAACTAATTTTTCTTGATTTATTGTAGAGACAAGGTCTCACCAAGTTGCCCAGGCTGGTCTTGAACAGCTGGGCTCAGGCAATCATCTCTCCTCAGCCTCCCAAAATGCTAGGATTACAGGCATGAGCCACCACGCCCAGACTGCATTTGTTTCTTTTGCCATCCACTTGACACTTACAGAGTGGCCAGGCCCTGTGCTGACACTTGGGACACAGGACATCCTCTGGAAGCACCCAGTGGAGATGGAGAAGGGCAGGCTAGTTCCCTCTTGCATGCCCTGCAGGTGCCCAGAGGCTGCTGGCACGGGGACAGAGAGCTTTCCTACCCCTCCCACCTCCCTTTCTGGTCCCCCGTTCTTTCCTTTCTAAGGCCAATAAGAATCTGACCAAGTCTTTCCTCCCCAGCCCGACCCAGCCAGGCCCCAGGCACAGCGCACCTGTCCACCGAGACGGCGGCCAGCGTGAAGCTGCCGGCGTACATGGTGAGGTAGATGAGCAGGTGCACGGCCTTACAGACGAGGGCCCCAAAGAGCCAGGCATCCAGCGTGTAGATGGCCGCCTGGAAGGGCACGCAGCACAGGATGAAGCAGAGGTCGGCCACCGCCAGGTTAAGGATGAACAGATCTGTGGTGCTGCCTGGCTCCTGCCAGGCACTTGGGCCAGGCTGCAGCAGCACCGCGAGCACCAGCCCGTTGCCCACTATGCCCAGCAGGAAGATCAGGGCAAAGACCACAGGCACTGCCACGGCTCCCACACTCCCTGGGCTGTCCAGCGAAATGTTCTGGGCATCAGCCATTTCCCCATCAGATGGGCACCTAGGGGAGAGAAGCTGGATCCTTAGACAGGAGCCCCCAGCTCCGGTCACTTGACCCAGGGGTCTGGCTCCCCCAGCCCAGGTCTGGCCAGGTGTCCAGGGCTGGAAGCTCATGGGAGATGGAGGAGGGCCAAAAGTTGTCACTGAGACCCACTGCGTGAGCAAGCCCCTGACACGATCACATTGGTGCTTGGGGGGTAGCCCTGTTTCCTGGGGACCACCTCTGTCATCCAGGGCATGGAGGGCTGCTTATGTGGTTGATGCAGATCCTCGACCCGTAAAGCAGGTGAAGTCACAGGTAGAGTGGGAGGAAACATGGCAGTGGGGGAGGGGCGGCTCCAACCTCAGGAGCTGGTATTTTTTCCTTCTCAACAGGGATCTGAAGCTCAGGGAAGACACTTGGCCATGGGTTCAGGACTTTCTCTGGCTACAAGCTGTAGCCTCAGCAAAACATAGGTGACAGCTCTGAATCATTGGAGAGTCCAGTCTAGTAAGATCGGCACAATGGCAAAGCTGGGAAGACCATATAGGTCACTGCACCCTTTTGGCACATGGGGAAATTGAGGCCCAGAGGGGACACGGGGGGCTAATATCATGCCTTGAATGACAGCTCTGGGGCTGTTGCCACATTATCTTGACTCCTTGGCTAGAGTGCTCATCTTGGAGCCTGTAACAAGTGGTGCCTCTGATACCTTGCATGTGTGCGTGTGTGTGTGTACGTGCATGCACACTGTGCCTATTCTCACCCCTGCCCTACCCCACAGCCCACATCTCCTGCCACCTGTGGATCCCTCGCATGCCTGGGACAACTGAGAAGATGGAATAAATCAGGGGCAAGGGGGCCAGGCAGGAGGAGGGAAGAAAGGCAGTATCTGCTCCCAGCCCAGCACCCAGCATGCAGCAGGCCCCCAAGCCCAGGATGAGCAACACCCACCTCAGCCTTGGGCACCGGGCCCCTGCTTGATCCTGGGTGGAGCAGCCAGGCTGGGGCCGCCTCCTGGTTCAGCAACTGCCCCTCAGTGCCTTCCTGCAGGTATGGGTCTGCCTCCTGCTTCTCCCTCTTCGCCTTTAAGGCCCTCCTCTCCCCCTTCTGCTGAGCCAGAGTTGGGCGCTCCCTCCGGAGTAGCCACTGGCCACCTCCTCCTCAGTCCCTCATTTTCCCCGGGTGGCATGCTCTTCTGCCTGTTTTCTCTGCCTCTCTGCGTTGCTGCTGCCTCTTTCTCTGTCAGCAGGGAGTAACCCATTGATCTTGCTCTCTGAGATGCGCTTTGTAGTTAACCCCTCCGAGGCCAGGGCCCAGTCCATTCCTGGTACTCCCACCTCCCGTGGTCCTGCTTGATGACTCCACCCCCTATCGTTGCCCCTCCCTGCTCTAAGCTGGGCTCCACTCCGCATTTAGAAAATTCCGTCTTGACTGGAAAACCAGCATTTGAGTTCAGTTTCTGCAGACTTTAGGTAGAATCCCTTCTCTTAGGTCCTGCAAATCCCAAGAGCCAACAACTCCTTCCCTAAGCTCACTGCAGGGGCTTAGTCCAACTGGAGACCAGGTGGTTTATGTACCTATCGAGTACCTATCAGAGAGGAGTGTAGTCTTTCCAGAAGATGGGAGTGGGGTGGGGGAGGAGCATCCAAGGAAAGTGCGTGAGAGAGGAAAGCAAGCTGAGGGGTGCTGATGGAGCCAGGACTTGCATTCAAGGCCCAGGAGCTGGGAAAAGGCCCCTTAGAACTAGCACCTCAGAAGCTGCTGGGCTTTTCCCGGGGGCTGGAAGGAGCTTCTCGAAAGCCTGCTGGATTTTCGGAAGCAGAGATTCACTGAGCTGAAACTATTAAGAATCTTATCTAGATTCTCCAGACTTGAACTCAGAACCAGAATTGATTTAAGGAATCCGAATTGTAGAATCTTATCAAGGAACGACAGACCTGTAGGAGTCTAGTTGTGTGGTGGGACTTAGAAACCAGTGTCAGATACCCACGGCCACCCTGCATAAAAGCAGTGTGTCCTTAGACTCTCAGAAGCCTGGGCAAATGTGCATGCCAGAACCCTGGAAACCGCTGAGATCCGTGACACTTTGCCTTCCGCCCCTTTAGTCTCCCGCCCACAAGGCCCTCCTCACCCAGGGGTGGGCAGTATTAGGGTGGAGAGTTCCCAGCGGCCGCAAGGCTGTGTTAACGTGAGTGGAGGGGGAGAGAAGGAAGGAAGAAGGAGGCCACCACAGAGCGCGCGGTTGTCATGTCCCAGCGTGCCCCCGA